CCCCAAAACCCCAAAACCCCAAAACCCCAAAACCCCAAAACCCCAAAACCCCTTTTACAATTAAAGTTTTTGAAATTTGTTATTAAATAGCAACATGCCCAAAAGAAAGAGAGAATCTCCCGTCCGAGGGGTGCCATCAAGGAGGAAAATAGAAGAGACTTCAGAAGATTATATTTTTAATAATAACAGAGGTAAATAATCGTTGATTAGTGTTTAGGGTATCATGCATATGATGACACAAGTGCTAGTTACAATCTGGACTCGCATAGTTTAGATTACGAGAGATACAAAGCTGACATAGCTCATGAAAGCCTTGTGAATTATGATTGTCAGGAATTAAACAGACAGCTTATGAGAATGAGAGAGAAAGTATGATAAAATATGATTATAACTCTTAGACTGAAGGTGCCATCCAGAATAATGGCCGGAATCCAAAAGTTAGAATCCATCGATTCACTGAAATTAGCAAAGAAATTGACAGCACTTTCCCGGATCCCCCTCCAAAGCCGAAAGAACCAGCAAAGCCTGATCCAGTGACTGATCCAAAGTTGATATCAAAAATTAGTGCAAAGCATAAGCTTCCAATGGGTAATCTCCGCTAAATATTCGTGTAGATAAAGTTGAAGAGAAGGATGAAGAAACTGAGGAGGAGAAGAAATCACCCTCAAAAAAGTAAGCATCTAGCATTACAAACTATAGACCTACTGCACCTGCTCAAAAAGGGGATATTTTAGAGAATTGGAGAAAAGAGATCTCCCAAATGCTTGAATCGCTGGATAAGTTTGACGAAAACTTTAAATCTTTCTGCCAAGGAAGATTTGAGAGGGAATTCAAAAAGGAATTCAGAATGATCTTAAATAAATGGTCTGCAGAAGATATTGACAATAAGATTGTCCAGTTCAGCTGAAAAATATTAGCAGTGTTTAAATAACATTGAAAGAGAACCTAAAAAGATACTTGCCGTGCTGAGAATCTTGCTTGATAGGCTTTTCGCAGTAACAGATAATAAGCCTAATCCTGTTGCTTTCAAGTTCTTCACTGGAATTCTTGACATTGTGAATAAGAAATACCCTCTGTTTAAGGAGCTGATGATAGCAAATATTTTCTCCAAGAACAAGGGAATTTGTTTGAGTGTTGGAAAAAGAGAGGATTTCAAGACTTTGAAGGACTATTTAAAAGATCGCGGCTTTAAGTACTCCAAAGCTGAAGACGGAGGAGAATACAAGGAATCAATGGAGAAGTTATTTTCAGAGAGATTAGGAAGATATTTAGAATTCCTAACTCATATATGAAATGTTAATATCAAGTTTTACCAACCGTTTTTGTGGAGGTACCTCCAAGCAGTGTTGCATGCTCCAGTGAATGAATTTACACCTTTAATCATTAAAGTAATCTTAGAGCATTGATCTAAGCAGTTGGTATCAGTTTATGGAGATAAATTCAAGCAGATTTTATTACATATTAAGAAAGATCATGATGAATGGAATCGAAAAATGACTGGAAAGAATGACAAACCAAGCACTCACAATGATTTTGTAGCTAAGATGTATCATTATGCCAATAATGACTTAAAGAAACTGAACCCAGACGACTGCTCTATCATGACTCAACAAATCGATCAGATAGAGAAATGTATATGAAAGATTATGAAGGGAGACTTTGACTTTTCATAGACATTTTCAACCTTGCCATAAAGAAGAGGGGTTTTGGGGTTTTGGGGTTTTGGGG